CGTAATCAGGACCTCAATTAACCCCATATGCAAGTTTTCATCGACTTTGGTGAAAAAAGTGGTGGACGCCAAATTGGCGCATAATGGCGCCAAATGACGCCAGCGCTCGAAACGGATGTGATATTCGTGATCAGCGCATCGAATTACATCTATAGGCAACGTTTCAGCGAAAATTTTTTTTGAGTTTTTGGGGTAGGAATAGTTCAATAGTGCCAAGAATGCACGTGATATAATTCATAAGGACAAAAACTCAACTTGAAAAAAATAGAAGATAAAGTGAAATTAGGGAGAAAATGGCTAAACCAGGCTGGAAACAGCTGATCGCCGCCAACAGTTCCTACGTACGCGGTCGCTGCTGCAGCCGCGTCTGCGACCCTTTTGACGACCGCCTAACCAACTGCCAGGATGACGACTGTGTACATGAGAAAACCAAGTCTGAACTGTCCTGGGATGTCTCGGGAATGGAATAAGAACTTTTGAGTGATCGTGGTTTTTTCTTTTAAGGCTTGTGTTGAAGTACCCACTGCCCATGTTAAGAACAATGATGACTATTAAGAAATGGGTAGTACATTGACACGAAGTTGTACGAAGCCACACATTACAAATGCAAAAGCCGCCGTCATTCCACCAATCGCCATGCGTTGAAGCAAGCTGGAAACACATCAGTTACACCGGAATCAAATAATGCGAGGAAACTTACGTGGTCTTCATTCCGTTGTTATCCAGAAAAGGATATACCAAGAATTGGAATATTGGTATGAAGATCATAATCATTAATGGATTAGCCACTTGGAATCTGATCCTGGATAAAGGATAAACCGAAGAAGTAATTTGACCATCCATCGCGAGAGCTTGAATAACCCAGCGAGATCCCTGAGTCAAGGTAATTACGAAATTGACATCAGTTGGAGACTGTATCAGCTAGAAATCATACTGATCACGTATAATAACTTGCTCAGCTTTATTTTTTTATGTGTAGGTGAACATGAAAAGTTCCATTAAGACTAGATAGGATAATAGGTTAGGAAGCATACAAGGTGGCTTGAGATTTTATGTTCTTCATATACGATCTCACCAGGGACGTGGGGCCCTTGTTGGAAACGGTTTTTGCATTATGTAGGGACACGTGCATGGACTACCGAACTGACGTTCATTCCCTCTTAACGTTTCTGGGACAACGAAAAAGGAATGAAAAAAGCCCATGCATCCATTGTTCATGAACCTCTATTGGCAGTAAATCACTTGCGACTTTGACCGGTTGCTGAGTGGAGTGGAGACCTTGTGAACGGGCTACTCAAGTCGAGGTGAAAAAAAGTCACAAGTGGAGTACTACCTGTGTCACCTGTTCAAAAATGAATGGTTTTTCAGAATGGTCCCCTCAACATTCGGAGCTACATTTGTCAACAGCGATCGAATGGCCAGTGGATAAGGTGGAAGATTCCCTTTCGGACAGTGATGACGGGGTTGGTGTTTTGATTCCGGCTGTT